ATGTTTGGTAGCTAAAAGCTAATGTAACAAAAGGCTAACTAGAAGCTAGAAACAACAAAAAGCTAAAAGCATAAACACCCTAGCTAAAATCCATAGTTTCACAAAGCTAGATGAAAATAGCAAAAAGCTAACTGAAAGCTTAAAAGTAGCAGAACAGTAGGGAATATTTAAAAGCAGCAAAACGTTGACTAAAAGTAGTGAAATGCTACGCTAAAGTACTAGTTAATGCTAGCAAAAAGTGGGAAAACACCGGTAAGTTTTTAAAATGCTATCAAAGAAGTAGCATATTGCAAGCTAAAAATAGCTACAATAGCTTCACATAAACTAAAAGTAATAAAAAGTAGCAAAACTGCTAGCTAAAACTCTGAAAATGCTGGCTAAAAGTGATATAATTCAAGCTAAAATCAGCAAAAGGCTAGCTAAAATGCTATAGCATTTTGCAAAATAGAGCTAAACATAGAAAAATAAATATAGCTAAATGGATCAAAATGCTAGCTACAAGTAGAATAATACAAGCTGAAAGTAGCAAAAACCCTGCTTAAGACAAAATTACAGCAATGAGCTGAATGTTCTGACATTCAAACAGTTAAAATAGCACAAAGTATGTTTGATTGCAAATAACTGTACAAAAACAACGAAACAATCAGAACAAACAAAAACAACAACAACTGAGTCAGCTTTCACACAAAGACAACATCAAAATAGAACGGGGCCTCAGTTTCACATAACTGGTAACTACTAATACAAAAATATGTAAAACAATCATTAATGAAACCCAAAATAAGAACGGAGCACATACATTTGTATTAAAACGCTTCATTTCTAAAGGATAAAAATAACAATAAACCTAGTCAAGTTTAAAAAACAGGAAACGAGGTCAACTCAACCTCAGATTAAACACATGGCACGTTAAACTGTGTCATTACATTCAACAAAAACTGAAAGCCAAGCGCTCGATGAAGGAACGCAGACCGCTCGCCACCTCTCATGCCGGAGACTTAAACTAAAATTGTGGAAGTTGCCGTTATTTTGGTCAAACTTTGTAAATAACGTCATAAACAATCTATCTGTCATGCTCAGAGGATCCTGTCATGACACATTTTAGCTCAACATCTGTAAAACTTGGGTAAAACGTCTATCTGTTGCAGCCGTTTGTTTGTGTTGGCTAATGTGGATTAGTGGTGGCGGCCATCTTGAATGCTGACATGCAGGAATGGATGGATGATAAAACCAAAAAAAAAAAAAAGCTGAGCTGTGTTCAATTAAACCTGCTAAGATAGTCGTTAGCTTGGCAGCCTGAAGTCATTCAAAAAGCTATCCACGACAGGTGAGATACTGATTGCTCATAACTCTCCACAGAACCCCACTTTATCAGATATTAACTAAACCTTCAAGGTGAAAATAAGAGGCATGTTTTAAAATGACCAGTTTAAAAGACACATTTCCTTTTATTTTCCAGCTCCAAGATGTCTGCCCTGCAGCCTCAGTGAAGCAGCATGGCGCTGGTGTCGGTGGAGTACGAGTTTGAGTACAAAACCAGCAGCGGCCGGCTGGTGTCCATCAAGCCCAATGAGAAGTACGTCCTCATCTCCAAATCCAACGAGCACTGGTGGCACGTCCGCAGAGACCAGCACACCCGGCCCTTCTATGTGCCGGCTCAGTACGTCAAGGAGCTCTCGGCCCAAAGCTCCTCTGGTTCCGATGAGTCAGAGTCAGCTGAGTGTGCGGCTAAGAAAACCCCACGAGCGATCCGTGCATTGGCTCGGGATGACTCGAGGGAGACGTACCGCTTTTCCACGTTTGGCCTGTGCGTCAACGTGCCGGACTCCAAACAGGCTTTCACAAACTCTGAAATCTCCTCCGGGAGGTTTTCGGTCTCTGCAGGAGGTGTAAAAACTGAAAACAAGCGTCGCTCGGACCCTCGGCCTGTAGATCAGCCCGTACAGAAACAGCAGCATCCCCAAGGTCCAGAGCAGGACGAACCCACAGAGCAGACTTTTCTGGATGATGAGGATGTGGATTTCCCTTTACCTCCACCACAGATGTGCTGCACGGTACCAGAGATAAATGTAACGGAGTTCGAGTCTTTTCCTGACCTGCCGGAGTTTGTTGCTCCTCCAAACAAACCTGCGGCAAAACAGCAGCAGGAGGAGACTTGGGATCAAACTGCAGGAACAACTTTAAGGACACCTCAGGTAAATGTTTTTTTCTTTATGTTGCTTAATCAGTTTTACCACCAGAGGGCGCATTTCTCCAAGTTTATGTTGCTTCTTGTACAATGTGCACCTGAAGAAGAATTCTGCAGAAATTGGACTTTTTTAATTAGCGAAATGTCAGATTCAGTCTAAATGTATGAAACTTTTAAATTGTACACTTTAAAAGTACTTTCTAAAGTATATCGTGTCATAAAACTTATGTAATTAGAAAATAAATAGTTCCTACCATCTTAGTTTGGGACAATGTGTTTTAGTCGTGCAGACGGGGGAATACTTTCTGGGATATTTTGCTAACACACAGACCAAGACGACGCCAAGAAGTAGTGCTCAGAGTATGTGTTGTGGATGACTCTCAACTACTAAGACACCGAATTTTAGCTTCAAAGCTATCAAATCGGCTACGTTGCGGCCAGTTTTGTGTCGTGGTGGCCATCTTTAATGAAATGGTATTAGTTGTAGAAGAAGCTCAAGCGTTTACTTTCTGGAACGTTTATCTAACTCCTACACAATAACTGGATACAAGGACATTCCAAGAACAAGCAGCCAGAAAACATTTTTAAATAAAATGCCAACATTAGGTGTAAAATGGGAACAGCAAGCAACTTGTGCTAGAGGGACCCTCGGAGAATTTCCATCCATTTACTGGTCCGTTAATGTTTCAGCCGTCACCTGTGGTCGTGAGGTATGGGTCATGAGCGAAAACAGCTTAAAGTAAGTGCAATTCAGACAAATTAGTTTGGTTTAAATATTTGAGAGGGTATATTGTATGAGTAGCCAAGCAGGCTTACTTGGCTACAATCTGCAAACAAGAAAACACATTTTAACCTAAAGACTGTTTGGAACAAAATGTCTCCCACTCGTGTTTAAACTGTGCGGCAGGGTTGAAATTTCAGCCTACGATAATGTTTTGTTTACAAGACTCCAGAATTTCACTTCCTACTCTTGGGAGAAGTGGAAAGCGAACTTGATGGCATCGGAATTTCAGTTTCATTATTTTAAAACTTGGTAAATTTAATAAATGTCTTCTTTTGGCTTTTCCCTCTTCAGGGGTCGCCACAGCGAGTCCTCCTCCATCTCACTCTGTCCTCTGCATCCTCTGTCCTAACTCCAACTACCTCCATGTCCACTCTTACTGCATCCACATATCTTCTCTTCTTCTTTGTCCATTTCCTGACAGCTGCATTCCCAGCATCCTTCTACCAATATACCCACTGTCTCTCATCTGGACATGTCCAGAACTTTATCTCCCAGTCCTTCAACCTGTCCTGTACCTATGATGATCTCATTCCTAATCTTATCCATCCTTGTCACTCCTAACTTCACTTCTACCACTTCCAATTTTTCTCCTGTCTTTTTGTCCATGTCTCTGTCTGCAGACCAGACAACATAGCTGGTCTCACAACTGTCTTGTAAACTTTTCCTTTCACCTTTGCTGCCAACTTTTTGTCACAAATCACTCCTGAAACTTTTCTCCATCCACTCCATCCTGCCTGGACTCTCCTTTTCACCTCTACCACATTCTCCATTTTACTGGACCATTTACAACAAGTACTTGAAGTCCTGCACTTTTGTGACCTCTGCTCCTTGTAGCCTCACTGTTCCACCGGCCTCCCTCTTATTCACACACTCTGTCTTACTATGGCTGACTTTCATTCCTCTTCTTTCAAGCGCATACCTCCATCTCTCCAGTTTCTCTTCCACCTGTTCCCTGTTTTCACCACAGATCGCAATGTCATCTGCAAAACATCATAGTCCACGGGGATTCCTGCCTGACCTCATCTGTTAGTCGGTCCATCACCAGAGCAAACAAGAAGGGGCTCAGAATTGATCCTTGACGCACGCCACCTCCACCTTGAAGCTATCTGCCACTCCTACAGCACATTTCACCACTGTCCTGCTGTCCTCATACATGTCCTGTACCAGTCTAACATACTTCTCTGCCACTCCAGCTCTCCACATACAATACCACACCTCCTCCCTCGGCACCCTGTCATATGCTTTTTCTAAATCCACGAAGACACAATGGAGTTCTTTCTGACCCTCTGCACTTGTCAATCAGCATCCTCAAAGCAAAGATGGCGCCTGTGGTGCTCTTTCTTGGCATGAAACCATACTGCTGCTCACAGATAGTCACCTCTTATCTAAGTCTAGCTTCCACAACTCTCTCTCAGATCTTCATCGTGTGACTCATCAACTGAATTCCTCTGTAATTGCTACAACTCTGTACATCATCCTTGTTCTTAAAAATGGGCACCAGCACACTTCTCCTCCAGTCTTGAGGCATTTTCTCACCCTCAAATATGCCATTGACTATTTGAGTCAAGAACCTCACTGCCATCTTTCCTAGTCATTTCCAAAACATCCACAGGTATGTCATCAGGTCCTGCTGCCTTTCTCTTCATTCTTTTCAGACTTGGTCTCTTGGACACATAAAAACATCTACCTTCCTTCTCAGCATCATGTCAGCCAGCTCTCTACCTTTGCTTGTCATTGTCTCCACACTTAGAGTTCCAACTCTCAGTCCTATATTCTTGACTTTCATCTTCTCCCTCTGTCTCCTGACACGTTTCCCTCCTTGTGGTCTTTGACTAACAGTAACACAATCTGCCAGCACCCTGTTTGTCAACAGCACCAGTGGCGGTCATTGTTAACCTGGGCCTTGACCAATCTGGTATGATTTCACTTTGATGAACTTCCATTATATTTTTGTCAAAAATGTTTTACGTCAGATGCCCTTCCTTATACAACCTTCTCCATTTACCCAGATTTTGGACATACACAAGAGATACACTGACTTTTGCTCCCAAGTCAAGTGGGTGGTTTTGCTACCGTTAAAATAAATAAAAATATCCTGATGAATGCACAATAATCCAAGTAGAAAAGTCTAAAAAAGTTAAGTCAGGTCCTCTCAGACTGAAGAAGTCTTTCGGATGAAAGACGAAACAATTCTACAACTTTTTTTTTTTGAATGTCCAGAGGACCTGACTTACCTTTTTTTTTTTAGATAAATAAAAAATGTTGCTAGCGGCAGCTAGCTTCCAACAGCAATGTTAACTGTTGCAGCACCTGGTAGCTTCAAACAGCTATGCTAACTGTTGCTAGCAGCTGGTAGCTTT